AGCTTATCAGAGGCATGTTTTCTTTTTCCTCCGCAGAGGCATAGTTTGAAGGTTCCTTCTTAAGGCAGGAAAAGTTTTTCTGAAGGAATTGTGTGTAGTGTTCAATTCGTCGCCCGTGGTCTTTTAAAGGGAGCTAGAATGGAGCTTACTGAACTGTGCGCCTGTGAGGAAGAGACAGATTGTTTTTGGTTTGTAAAAGGCAAGACCAGCACAGAGTGTGCAGCTGTAAGAGAGAGAGAGAGAGAGAGAGAGAGAGAGAGAGAGAGAAATCAAGATTTGCTGGATGGATTGGCTTACAGAGAGCAAGGCAAGAAGGGGCCACTGATGAAAATGAATTGTGAAGCCTGTAGCCTAGAAAGGGTTATGGTTAAGATCTGTTAATGAAAAGAAAACTAAAAGTTAGGTAAAATATAAAAAAAAGGAAGTGTTGGGATTCTAGAGAGTTACTAGAAAGAAAAATCTGCTGAAGAAAGTATTGCCAGACATGAAAAAGAACTGCTAGATCCAGAGACCTGCTGAAAAGTGAGAGATCTCTAAGTGTTTAAGAACAGACTCACAGAGCACAGAAAAAAATTAAGAGTGGGAATGCTAAAGAGCAGAGCCCAGCCAAAGTTTGTGAAAGCATGGAAAGCCAGGGATTCAGTCTAAAAATATATGTGAGGCAGAGTCAGTGACTCAGGAGAAAATAGAACTGGATGAGCTCAGAGGCTCTGAGGGGAGCTAAGAGAGAAATCTGAGAGGGGTCTGCAGGGCCCTAAAAGACCAAGTGATCTGGCAGTCCAGAGAACGGGCACAGAGAAAAGATCACTGTTAGAGCTGCCAGAGCTGGGAGCCTGCAATCTCAGCTGGCCCAAGGAGGAGCCAGGAAGCCCAAAAGTGAGAAAGTGTGCCCATAAGAATTAAAAAAGACCACATCAGGAGAGTAGAAAGTTTGGTCCCAGGTATGACCTAAAACTGCCACCCTCCTGGGTGTGGTTAGTGTGGTGGACCTACCTATAGCAGGGTAGTCTCTGCAAAATGCCGCATAATAAATCACCCTGGGGAATGGGCAGGGGCGAATATAGGGTGCCTTAAAACCCTAGCTTCCACCACCTTGTGGGTTACCCTTAATTGGGAAAAGGCTAGGGGGAGCATACCCGGACAGAAAAACCTTTAGTAAAGGCCAAAGAAAAAGAATAGAGGAAAGTAGAAAAACGGGCTGGGAGGCACCTGTTAGAGAGAGAAAGATGTAAAGTGTTTAAAATAGAAAGGAAGGAAAAAAAAAAAAAGAGATTAACAGAGTTTAAATGCTAGAGCAGGTAGAAGGAAAGAGTAAGAATGTAATTATAAAAATAACTGCTTTAAAGCAGGAAAAAAGATACAGTTGCTTTAAAAAAAAAAAAGTTAGGTCTTGATCTCAGAGTGCCTGAGGTAATGCTGTGGTCTGTTTGGGTTAAGTACAACAACTTCTATCACTGGTCCAATAAGAAAGAGGAGTGTTGTATGTTTGTTCTGTGTGTGTATTGCAAGGGAGAAAAACTGCTAGAAATAAATATCTGCAATCTCATTGGTAGAGGGTGAGAAATTTTTTTAACCTCTCCATACTCTTCAAAAATAGTGTAAATCTTTTAGAAAGGAAAGTGTTAACAACTTAAGGCCAAAAAAAAAAAAAGGTGTTTATAAAAACTTGGTACACATCAGCACTGTAAGTGTGTATATATGAATAATATTTTACTGCAAGGAGTTTTCCTTGGCAGGTTGGTGTGTGTTTGTTTTTTTCTTTCCTTTCTCTATTTTGCAGAGGTTATAGTCTAGTAGCAAAGGTGACTAAAGAACTACGAGGCCATCAACAGCATTTTCTTCACCTAAGCCATGGTTTTACCAACACAGCAAAATTGTTTTGTCTGTCTGTTGTGTTGTTTGTCCTGTTGCATTGTTTTTGTTTATTTAATAGATTAGTTTATTTTAAATTGGCAAAAGTTTAAATGTATATAAAAATCATAAACATTATTAGTAATATTCTCCCTAAAAATTAAATCTGTCTGTGGATCCTAACCAGAACACTTCCGCCCAGTTGGACTGGAAAGTTGTTCTAATCTTTGAAACAAAAAAACAGCAATTAATATAAAAGTTTTAAGTTGTAAAGTTTACTTGTTTAGCAAAATGGCATTTAGTAAAAAAAGTAATGTGTGTGTGTTTAGTAAATAACCTGATAAAATGTTTTTTAAGGCTATAAAGGAAATCTCATTTGTATTTAGATACTGTTTATAACATCGACATAACAGAATGTGGGTAAAAACTGTATTAACCCATCATTTTATAGAAAAAGTTAATAAACCACATCAGTATTTGCATAAAGAAGTAAAGAAACTCTTTATTGATTAAAGCAAAATACAAAATGGATGGCCCATAAAGTTAGAAATAAGCGTGGATCGGTTATGTATTTATAATTGGGATAATAAAGAAACATACTTTGGATTCCAAGTAAATTGGACTAGTGTGTATCATTAACCATCTTGGTACAGTGGTATATAAAACACAATTAGAAAATTGTAACACAGAGTGTAATAATAGTAAAATAGAGTGCAATAATAGTAAAATATAACCATGTTAGTCTTGTTCTGTAAGCAACTTGAAAACTCCATTTTGTATCCTTCTGCTTGACATAAGTGAATGAACTCTGCATAGCCTTTATGTATGAGTGCGTGTAAAAGGGTGAATGGTGAGAGAATGACATAGAGACGGGAGAAGAAGATTTAACTGTTTATGTAAGCAACAAATCGCCAAATGTAAGTTACAAGCCCAAATGGCTGAAGAATCCCTTTCAAGCTCAAGGGCACAAAGGAGATAGAAGAAGAAGAAATTCTACCAGACAGGCAACAAGAACACTCCAAGGCTAAGGTAAGCTGAAGACAAAAGAAGAACAACTGCAAAAACAGAAGCTGGGTATGAAAACCCCCAAAGCACTGAAACAAAGGATGTCAATCCCTATAAAAGAACACTTTGAAAATGCCAAGTTGGGTGCGTCTCTTTCTCTACTGCTGTTTCATCACAGCACAGATGCATCTGTTCACCCTGCTCCAGCTGTTATCTTCAAATCTGCTATCTTCAAATCATCATCATCTACTCAATAAGCCCAGGTAGGCCACCCTGGGCTGATATTGAGCAACTATTGCTGGTAATTATATCTGGTGTGTGTGTGGATGAAATGGTGGTTTTGTGTATTTGTATGCCTGTGTGTAATGATATGTATGATGATTTGTGTGTGTTTGTATGAGTGGTGTGCCAGAACCTCTATGTCTAAACACATGTAATCAATAAACGTGGCACCTTGCCTTATTCCCCTTTATAAAGTCTCGGTCGTGATTTGAGCAATTGGCAATTTGTGTAACAGTACGCATACCCTTGGGGGTATGCAAAACATCTCTTGGGGGGGTAACGCAGGAGAAATTGTGTAATGGCAGACTAATGTATGCTGGTAGGGGTACAGAATGTAATGGCAGACTAATGTATGCTGGTAGGGGGACACAGGCAGCAGGTAAATCTGGAAGGGGGTGTGCAATAAGAAAAAGTTTGGGAGCCTCCCATGTGTGGCAATGGAGAGCTCCAAAGCTCTATGCACCCAGCCAAGAAAGAGCTCAGCTGATACACTGAAACGCTGCAGGAAAAAACACATTCCACTAACAAATGCTACAGGTCTGCAGGGACTCCTGACCCTCTCTTGGCTTCACCGAGGGAAGAGAAGCTTGGGAGAAGGGATGGGGTACAGAATACATAGTCTCAGCTTCTTTAAGCTTTGGACTCTCAATGTCTTCTTAATATATTCACATTTGCCTAGTCATGTCAGCCAGTGGGCTGGTGTGGTGTACTCACCCCTTCTTCCCAAAGCACAGGCCAGCTCACTTCCCAGAAAGCCACCACCAATAATGGTGATGGACTTGACTTCCCTTGAAATCTTTTCTAGAGCTCTGAAGTCCTCAATCTGTAAAGAGATTCATTTCCATTTCAGATACCTGTATGGTCAGCAACAATAGTAGAAAGCATTATTCTCCAGTTGTTCTCTCTACAGTGATTTGAAAACAACTCCCCTCACCACACACACATTTAAAAGGGAAAGTTAGTCCCTCTCTTCCTTTATATGAAACAGTCATTGGATTAACAGGAATCTACTGTTTGAATTTCCCTTTGTTTACTTTCAGCACTAAGTTACCAACTTCATCTGCAGTCTAGCTTTCCACCCTTGCACTGGTGATCCAGGGCATGACTAGATTCTTGCATCTTTCCCAACCATCCTCTCATCAAAATTCCTGTTAGGCAAGAAGTTAGGAAACTCGTCTAATGATACTCCAAACAGCCTTGCACACAACTCTAATGAAGGTATCAGCAACCTTTTAGGAGTGGCAGGTTGAAATAATGCGGCTTGGTCCAGTGGGGGTCCATCACTTGTGACTCATTCACCACCATACTGCTGGGGCCTCCAATTCTCCCTGTTGTCAAATTGTCAGTGACTCGCTTGCAACCTGCTACTGAATGCCCTGGCTATGAACTGTCTCCAATGTCTCAGTTCTGGAGGTTGGATGAAATTGCTTGGTAAGGTGAATCCAGCCCACAGGCAGTAGGCTGCTGATCCCTTCCCTCATGCGATCAAGATTTAGGTCATCCATCTCTCCTTCCCACAAATGAGCGTATAATCTCTGTCAGGCCTCCAGGAGGAGTCAAACACTGAATGCTACAAAGCAGGAGACCAGGACACAACACTGTTTCTTACCACTAGATCAGTTACTGAACTAGAACAGAAGCCCAACTTCCTACATTTATCTAAAACTAGTTTTTCAAAAAATCAATATAAACTCTGGAGGAAAAGAAAATGCAAAGCACCTAAACAAGGAAGAATGGGAGACCATCATGTTCACCCTTTCACTCACAGCCAACCCAGCAAAAAGAACAAGGAAAGGAGTGGCCATGAAAACATGGTTATTAGTTGTATATTGTTAATTTTCCACCAAACTAGAACACAAATAATGTTCCAGTTTTGGAGGATAGGTACAATGTTGCCACATAGGATCAGGCCAACTGTCTAACATCTTGTCTTGAATACTGACCAGTACCAGCTGTTGGAAAGGGAAGTTCTTTTTTATCCCAGTTAGTTAGAGTATGTCTACATTAAAGGTATTTTGTTCCCATTTTTCACTAACAGTGCCACCACATGGTTAAGTTATATTGTAGGCAAAAAATCAGGCACTTTTACCCACCCTTTTATTACACCTGGAGGTTTTAGTTCATGTGTCTATCATATCGTTTTTCTTAATGCCTTCTATATACTAGACAGTCCAAATCTAACTCTGCTTGCAGAAGTCTCTCCATGGCTGTGATCATCTCCACTGCCTTTCTCTCGACCTTTTCCTTCTCTGCCACGTCCAACAAGCTGGGGTGGGACAGTATTCACTGTATGGGGAATAGGGGTGTCTGTCAGTTTAGAGAATTGCATCACAACAGTTCTAGTTTTTATGGGGTATCAAACTACAGTCAATGTCTGCTCTGTAAAACTGAAGCATTAACGATTCTTGTAAACTGCTGCTAATGGTTGGGAAAGAACTAAACTTGGGAGGAGAAATGGACTCCGCAAGCAGTCAATCATGCCTTCATCCCCCTGCTTTAACTCTCCATTATCTCTGCACTTCATATTTAGTTACTATTGAAAGAAATTTCTGAGAGTCTGCAGCTATTGACAACAAGTAGTTTATCCTAAAAATCAAACACACAGAAACAAAAACTTCCTAGGTTCCTCAGTGTAAGTTATCTACAACAGAAATGACAAATACTTGAGAAGCAGGAAAAATTATCCTACAGGAGCTCTGGGCTGCCATAACCAGACTGTTTCCAGGGCTGAGCTCATTTGTGTACTCTATGCTGCACTGCAGTTTGCAGCATCAATACAGCCCATCTTATGGTCTGTAAACTGAAACCAATGCAATTCATCACCCACTTCAAAACATGCTGTAAAGCTTACTTTCTTAGCACTTGCAAAGTGCTTGGGATATGCAGGAATCCCTTAAAAAAAAAAACGGGGAAGGTGTACTTACTTCCTATTAAAACCCCACATCCTGAGGCGGCTTTTGCTTACAGAAAGATCCTGCAATGCTTTCTAATGCCTTAGGGGTTTGGGTTGTAGCCGTGTTGGTCTAAGGACATAGGCAGACAAGGTTCCTTGGGTGAATTTGATATCTTTTATTAGACCAACCCAAATGGTTGGAGAACAGTTATTAAGCAAGCTTTCGGGTTCAAATGCCTCAAATGTCTCTTCTAATGCCTTAGGTTGTTGGCTTGCCCAAGGAAAGCAAGGGGGAAAGCAAGGCTGGCATGAGTAACTGCTGTGTTATTGGAGGAGGCCAGTTCCTGCCAGACAAGAGCTGTTAGAAATCTTAGACACTGAAATGGCACACTCAAGGTAACAAACACCAAGGTGACAAACTTCTATGAGAACACATAAGGGAAAATGACCCTTTAGATTACCTTCCGGAATAGCGTCACCCTTTTCTGCACATCTTTTCCTGCCCTCTCGATTGCAAGAAGATTCCTTGGGGAACCACCTGAGAACAGAAAAGTCAGAGGCTGGTAACATAACCCATAAGCCAGAGTACTAGTTCTTTGGCCAACTCAGCACCTGTTCAGAATTCAGACCTGGGCTCTCTCCACTACAGAACTCCACCTCTTCTACTCCAGAGTTGCACATCACCAGCAGGTACCTCAAGTGGGAAGGTGAACAGCTACTCAGATACAGTCAGTTATAAGTATCTAGGATAGGGATGGGGAATGTCTGGCCTGTGGGCCAGATGCGGTTGGCTGGGGACTCCATTTCCCAGCCGCCACTGCCCACATGGCTTGTGCCGGTCTCCATGGAGACCCCAGCCTCAGCCACGTAGGCAGCATGTGGGGCAGAACAGTGCAGGGGGCTGCTCTGGAGCTGCTGGGATCTTGCAGCAGGGACAGCTTACTCCGGAGCTAGGGCAGAGCCGCAATCTGTAGCCTGCACGCTCCAGGACGGGGCGTGCACGCAGGGGATCCTGGCTCTGCCCCGGCTCCTTGTAGCAGTGACAGGCCCAGAGGTTCCCCATCCCTGATCTAGAGTCTGCTCAGATCAAATCAATATTGTCAAATGGGGAAAGGACAATTGCAGACATACTATAGAACAAATAAGAACATAACTGCAGTGTCAAACGTCTGGCTCAGAGGACAAATCCAATAAGGTTTGTGTCTTTGAGAAACCTGCAGGATGTTCACAATGTAAAAATCCTAAACTTTAAGACAGTGGTGGCCAATATTTTTGCCACAAGTTAGCCCTACACCCTCTACATGTGCTACTTTGATCCCCTTCCCTTGCCTGAACTGCTGCTGTACTTCCTGCCCCTTCCCCAATCTGCCACATGCCCCACACAGACGGTCTGTCTGTGCCACTTGTGGCACCCATGTAAGTAGACTGGTCACCTCTGCTTTAAGAGATCCCGAATGTCTGTCACTCGTGTCTGTGAAGAAACTTTTCTAATGTAACCCAAGCGTAACTGATAGAGGGATGCCTGTCCAAGTCTTCAGAGCAAGAAGCAGTGACTGGCAGGCAAACTCCTCTGACATTAATCTTTTTGGGCTGCTAACTGTCCATCTCAGCACCAATTTCCACTGCCAGTCACACTACCAGTTAAAATGTGAATGGAAGTTGAAGTCAGTAGTTGTTTCACAAAGGAAACTGATGGGAGAGGAAAAAAACAGGGAAGAGAATGAAAGAAGAAAGAAATACAGCTAATTTCCCTTCAAGGGTAACAAATAAGGTAACAAGATATTCAATAAACAACAAACAAGTTAAAAATACCTAAAAATACCAAAATTATCCATGTTCTTTGTGCAAACATCTCAGTGACAGCAGTTGGTGTCCAGCTATGGACTGCAGGCATCATGGTTTAGCATTACACCTTGAACTACTGAACAGAGTTAAAAATGGAAATCAGCCAATCCAGCTACAAATGTGGTAGCAGACTAAGAACCACAACATACAGCAGCACTCTGACCCAGAGAGGAGCTCAATTGCTTTTCTTGCCCCTAAAACAGGCAGGACCTGGAGAGCTACAGCCAGGCTGACAGGGTTCAATTTAGACTTAAAATGAGAACATTTTGCCAGTTCATCTCCCTAGGGATTTTTCTACTTAGTTTGCTAAGCATGTCTCCCATCTCTGCTACTCCATGGCAGAGCCAGGGATGAACAACATCCCAGAGATTTTCATGTAACAGACCCAGACAGAACTCCCATCCAGCACCCTTTTGCCTATGAAAACATCCTTCTCAAGGCTGCAGTCAAGTCCCCTTCAGCAGAAGAGCTCTGGTGTTGCTCTTCCAGAGAATGAAGAACCTACTTGTCAGGTGTGATGCAGTGCTGGAGCTCAAGAATCAATGCAGCACAGAGAGAGACACTAGGAAAACATACCTGTGGCAATTAAACATTTATCATAGGATATCTGGGTGCCATCATCAAGTTTCACTGTGTTGCCTCTGACATCCATGTGAACCACCTGCAAGACGCAATGAACATGAACACTGAATTTTGCTTATTATTTAGGCAGCCTCATTAGTTAGCATAGACTTTCCAAGTAGAGAAGCCATCTTAAAGGATACCTTCAAGAAGGACTAAGTCTTGCTGTAGAATCTCCTCTTTGGAAGAAAAAGAAGGGGCTCAGAATTAACAAAAGGCCTTAACTTGGTAGCTGGTGTAGAACCAAATTGATCCTTTCCAGTCTTTAAACCTCAGAGAATGCAGGTCAGGAACCTGTTTTAAATCTACAGCAGGGAAACTGCAGGCCAGGTTCAGCCCCATGGGGTAGGAGGGAAAATGTCCTATATCCTAGGAAGGAGCCAGGCTCGTTATTTACAGGAGCTGCAAGATGTGTAAAAGGAAAACAACAGGGGGAAGCTAGGACAGCAGTACTCCCATGTCAAGCCTGGACAAAGAAAAATATTCCCACCACTTGATCAGGGAAAGCCATAGGTGGCAGCCTTAATAAAGAACTTCAGGAAGAGCAATTTCCCTCCATTTACTTCCACATTTTGTCAAAAAATTACAACTGTTATTTCAAGCACATTAAGAAAACCTATTAAATTTCTGGTGAGGTCTAATTTCACCTTGAATTGATGCACTTGGATAAACCAACCAGGCAAGTAAGCAAGCCGGTGCATCTCAGATGAACAGGGAAACTTGAAAGCAAAGTGTAGAACAATGCCCCTAAAACTTGCAAGAGAAGCATATCACAAGCCTTGCTGCAAACTCTTCTATACTTCCCTGCTGCCAGCTATGTGCTTGCTAAAAATCACAATCCTATGCGTTGAATAAACTGCTGCATATATATTGAATTCCCTCCCTGAATATACTTCTCAGCTTCCATCTTGCCATACCATTCACATTCCTCCTCCATCTCTAGCCCCTCCATAGTCTTGCCCCATACCCACAACTCCGTTTTCACTCCTCCCTATGTTCCTGTATTTCTTACCTACTCCTTTGGACTTCTTTCCCCACTTTTAACCTTCATTCACATTGTCCCTATGGTTTCAGACAGCTTCTCCTTTTTTGACCATGAAAGGCTCTATCAAACTCTCTTCTCCAATTCCTTCTGCTTTCTCTTCCAACCATCCTAACACAGTTACTGCTTTTACCTAATCTGGTCTCAGGCTGTAGGCTCTGCTGATTTTACTGTGTAAAAAACTGCAAACGTTTATGATGCTTTAATAATAATACTGTATACCAACCTTCTTGCCAGTGAGGATGGCTACTCCACCATTCTCTATATAAGGCAAATCACGAGCAGGGACGTAGAAAGAAGGAGGCTGGAAATATATACTGTAAAGAAAGAAATGCTTCACTGTATAAAGTATTTCCATTTTCCAAGCATTATCAATTACTGAATGACTTGGATGGCACCCAGCCACTAAAATTCATAACAGTAGTTTACAAAAGAAAAAAAGACAGCCTCTGACAAGCTGATAACATTTTCATTGCAATTCCAGGAAAGTCTTGTGTTTTTTTTTTTTTCTTACCAATCTTGTGTCCATATCCTGTTCAAACCAAGATTTCTACTAAAGCAATGTGTTGCGGTAGCAGGCACCATATAGGTTAAGTCAAAATTCCCTATGGTTTCATAGTTGGTAGGGTCGGAGGGGCCCGGAGCAGCTCATCAAGTCCGCCCCCCTGCCATGGACAGGAACGAGTGCTGGGATCAAATGACCCCAGCTAGGTGTCTATCTAGCCTCCTTTTGAAGACCCCCCAGGGTAGAAGTGAGCACCACTTCCCTTAGAAGTTGGTTCCAGATCCTAGCCGCCCTGACTGTGAAGTAGTGCCTCCTGATATCTAGCCTGATATACTCTCTGTCAACTTATGGCTGTTATTCCTTGTTACTCAGGGGAACAGGGACTCTCCCACTGCCTGCTGGTCCCCCTTGGCCAGTTTATAGACAGCCACCAGATCCCCTCTCAACCTTCTCTTGTGGAGGCTGAACAGGTTCAGGTCCCGTAGCCTCCCCTCATAGGGCCTGCCTTGTTGCCCCCTGATCACGCGAGTGGCTCTCCTCTGGACCCTCTCCATGTTGTCCACATCCCGCCTGAAGTGCGGCGCTCAGAACTGGACGCAGTACTCCAAATGCGGCCTAATCAATGTCATATAGAGGGAAAGGATCACTTCCTTGGAACTGCTCATGATGCATCTGTGGATGCATGACAAGGTGCGGTTAGCCTTCCTGACCGTGTCCTCACATTGGCAGCCTGCGTTCATCTTGGAATCAATAATGACTCCAAGATCCTTTTCTGCCTCTGTGCTGACAAGAAGGGAGTTCCCCAGCCTGTAGGTATGCTGCTGGTTCTTCCTCCCCAGGTGCAGTACCTCGCACTTGTCAGTGTTGAAACCCATCCTGTTCTCACCCGCTCACCCCTGTAACCTGTCCAGATCTAATTGCAGCCTGTCCCTCTCCTCTAGTGTGCCCACCTCTCCCCACATCTTAGTGTCAACTGCAAATTTGAACAGGGTGCTTTTCACCCCCTTGTCCAAGTCACTGATGAAGAGGTTGAACAGTGCGGGCCCAAGGACCGAGCCCTGGGAAACCCCACTGCCCACATCCCTTTAGGCCGAAAATGACGTGTCCACCATCACCCTCTGGGTGTGGCCCTCCAACCAATTAGCGACCCATCTGGCTGTTCAGCTATGAATCATGGGTTTACATCATGATCTGTATCACAAGCTCTTTTCTGGAGATTACATGGGATTTGGACTAATGGTTGTATATTTTCACTAAAGACGCAGTAAGACAGTGTGCAAGTAGCCTCATGCAAGAGGCTACTTCACTATACTAAATCACCAGCTTTGCAATCTCTCAGTTTTTCAAGCCAGTATTTCAGGGCAGGCATCTAGCTGCTCACACAGTGTAAGAGTGCCTTCTACAGCTGTTACCTTCACTGCAAAGCTATTTCCCAGAATGCAACAGTCCACCTCCATTTAAGCAGTCTAATTTCAATGCCAGTGGACGTACGTAATTTCCATGGGTTGTCCTTCCATGATGAAGGCAACGGCCTAATCTGCTGTGCTGTATACCCAATAAGTGCAGTAGTCCACAGACACCTAGGCATGTTGTCAGTGATTCCCAAGAAAGCTGCTTGATCATCATGGGTGATGTTAAGTAATTAACTCGATTCCTATTTGCACACAGATAATGCATACCTTCTCTCTTTGCCATTCCACTGCTTGAATTGAAGAGTTTCTGTGACATTTGGATCTTCTGAAAACCATAATTCTTTGGAAAGAGGGGGACGCATATAGGGTAGCTCAGGATCTTCAGACACAATCAGCACCTTTAGGATGGGAAACCATTAACAAACTCAAGTGCATGAATGTGTGCCCAGCATCAGAATAAAAGCATGCTGACTTTGAAGCATGTCTGTCTCAGACGTGTACTGTTTTTGCAGACATGCACATCCCTTACCCTTGCCCCAGGATCACGAGCCCGAATGGATCGAGCAGCAGCAAAAGCAGCAGTGCCTCCACCAATTAGCAAAAAAGGAGTATGAGATGGAACCTCAGGATGAGTACTTTCTGGAGCTGCAAGCAATAGAACAGATAACCTATTGTGAATATCCAACACAAGTTCCCCAGAAACAACACTGCCTGCCCCTGAACAGCAGAGAGAACCAATGTACACTTGAAGCAATCATGAGTTACTTCTGCCTTTCAGACGCAGATGACTCCCTCTGGCAGGCTACCTTCCCTTAGGGTCTGCAATACTCAACCAGGGTGCTGAGGCAAGCTTGGGGTGCCCAGAGACCTTTGAAGGTTAACTGCCAAGTACATGGATATAAGCATATAGGCACAGGCTCAGGCTCGTCCCTGCCTAGCGGTGTGTCCCCCCCTGCCCCCGGAGGTAAGCACTATAATAAAGAAATTAGTTTTTTAAATGGGGGCAGTTCCATTCACAAAAGTTATGGAGGGGTGCCTTGAGTCTAAAACAGCTGAAAACCACTGCCTTTTTATTCACTAGAAGACTAATCTTTCCCATAACTATGGGGAACCTACAACAACAATGGGTGTGGATGCACAGGGCATCAGAGAAGTAACTACAGGAAAATTAAGTTTCACTTCTCCAGACCTAGCTCTCTCTACATGGATCAGGTCTCAGCTGCTGAGTTAATGACCAAATCAAGATTGTTACCGTTTCCACTCTAGGTAGGCTACAGAGTCAACTCGAGGTGATCCTTCCCTTCTATGCGGCACTGGTTAGGCCACAGTTGGAGTACTGCGTCCAGTTCTGGGCGCCACACTTCAAAAGGGATGTGGCTAGCACTGAGAGGGTCCAGAGGAGGACCACTCGAATTGTCAGGGGGCAGCAGGCCAGGCTCTACAAAGATAGACTAACGGGCCTGAATCTATTCAGCCTCCACAAGAGAAGACAGAGGGGATCTGGTGGTCATCTATAAACTCACCGGGGGGGACCAGCGGAAAATAGGTGAGGCTCTGTTCCCCCAGGCACCACCTGGGATAACAAGGAATAATGGCCACAAACTGATTGAGAGCAGGTGCAGGCTTGATATCAGGAGGCATTACTTTACAGTTAGGGCTGCCAGGCTCTGGAATGGGCTCCCAAGGGAGGTGGTGCTCTCCCCTACCTTGGGGGTCTTCAAGAGGAGGTTGGATAGATATATGGCTTGGGGGATTATGATCCCAGCACTCGTTCCTGCCCAGGGCAAGGGGTTGAACTTGATGATCAGTTCAGGTCCCTTCCAACCCTAGAAACTATGAAACTAAGGCAGCACAGAACTCCTGACAAAAAGAGCCCAGTAAGTAAGATTCCATTGCCAACCTTGTGTTCATTCATATTTGTGCTCAACTGGCACCCCCCCCCATGTTTAAAAGGAAGAATGTGTTTAAATAATTCATACAGCTGGGTGCAATACCTGCAACACATGCAACCATCCACAAAATTTATTTCTGGCATTCAACAGGCAACTATGAAAGCTACATGCAGGTCTGAGAATCTGCGCATAATACATGATGGTAATTTATTCCCACCAAAGAAAGCACTAGTTTCAATACCCAGTCTTTTAGTTCCACAGACAAAAGTAGATGTTAAACGATGAGCAGGTGAAGTACTGCAATATCTGTATAAGTCACACAGCTAACAGATTTCTCAAACATGAGAAAGAAGAGTTTTCCTGATCACCAAATGGCCCTGGTAAACTTCTACTACTACAAACGGAGACAGCAGAAATTTTTGGAAAACACAAAATTGCAAGCATCTCTTTCAGTTAAATCCCTATCTATATCTTAATACTATCACCAAAGTCACAATTAAGGCCGGAATTAAAACTTAATCCAGCCATTTAGTGAACAGCATACAAGGAATATAAAATAAAAGATTCAACAGGGAAAAATCTTTTCCTCGTAGTCCTAGGTGACCAGCTTAAAAGTCACCACACCATTCTTCACACACACACACACACACACACACACACACACACACACACACACACACACACACTATAGTAAATTAAAATTACCAGGGCAAACACTTCTGCTCACTCATGGGGTCTCACTCACCTGCTGGACTCTGGGAGGCAGCACCCCCTTCTGAAAGAGAGAACATACTATTTTACTTGAGCAAGGCGCAATATAACAAGACTGCATTTAGGAACCTAGTTCAGTGTTGACCTCTGACAATGTTAGAATCAGCAGTCTGCCTTCAATGAAGGGGACAGAGACTCTGATGATTAATTAGGCTGCTGCTTCAACATTTAACTTATAGCTTTCCACCCCACTCCCCGCGCTCTGGGATTAGGTATGCTTTCTTAGCAAGTATGTTACTGGTCTCAATAGTAAGGTAACTGGGTGAAATCCTTTTGTGCATTACACAGGAAATGTGATTAGATTCGACAATTGTCACTTATCATAAAAAAAAAAAATCAATTCTCCTCTAGAATCGGTGTTTTAATATTTTCCTTCTGGTAGCTTTATAAGAGTGTTCCTGTTATGAACCTACTATCCCTGCCCAGAACTCAAAGTCCCACTGAGCAAATCTCCAAAAGCTTGGGCCCAGTAGAAATCCATGGACCACATTCTGAAAAGTGATACTCTAATGATGATGCAGGGGTACCCTCTTGTCTAGAATCTAAGCTGCAATTTCAGCAGCAGTTTGAGACTCACTTCCCAGCATAAAAGTTAAATGAGGAAATGCAAGCGAGTTAAAAGTGGCTCTTACACCAAAAGGCGCTGCTGAAAAAAACCCACACTTGACCCTGCAGGTGATGGAACGAAAGTCTACAAATCCGAGAACTCTGAATTATGATTAATGGATTTAATGAAGAGTCCAGCAAAGGGTGACAAAAATGGTGACGGGGCTGGGAGACATGACTTATGAGGAAAGACTGGGGGAACTGGGCTTATTTAGTCTAGAGAAGAGGAGACTTAATAGCAGTCTTCAACTACCTGAAGGGGGGTTTGAAGGAGGATGGAGCTAGGCTATTCTCAGTGGTGGCAGATGACAGAACAAAAAGCAATGGTCTCAAGTTGCAGCAAGGGAATTTAAGGTTAGATATCAGGAAGAATTTTCTCACTAGGAGGGTAGTAAAACACTGGAAAAGGTTACCCAGAGAGGTGGTGGAAACTCCATCCTTGGGGGTTTTCAAAACCTGGCTAGACAAAGTCTTGGCTGGGATGATCTAGTTGGGGCTGGTCCTGCTTTGAGCAAGGGGTTGGACTAGATGACCTCTTGAGGTCCCTTCCAACCCTAACTTCCTAGGATTCTATGATTTTTTTTCAACAGATCTATCAAACAAACACCCGTGAAGATGAATTATGCAACTTTCTTGCTCCTTCCTCTTACTCTTTTACAAACAGACATTTAGACAGCTAGTACCACCTTGCATTCTTGAATGAACAAGGTTCAATGCATCAAACGGCTTGCATCAATAGGTCTATTATTAATTTATGATTTTGAGTGTTTTGGCCAGTCTAGTTTTTTTAGGTGTCTCAAGTAGACAGTTTAAAGAAAACCCTTCCTCTGAATAGAGTCTTAAAACGTGAGTGCAGTTGAGAGGTACAGTAGTTTGCTACCCACCAGAACGGAGCTTTTCTTCTTGTTCAGAGTGCATAGCTATTTTTGCAATGCGGTCATTGTACCGCTCCTTGCTTTCTTTCAGTGTCGTGTACACCTGGAGAGAGACAGAGATGCCACACTTGATCTGAGCCTTCAAGAGGCCGAGAAGCGATATGTCACAGCATCAATACAGTATTCTTCTTCAACTCCTGACATGCTGCTCACTCAAAAAGAAGAAAAAAAAGACCCTATTTTCCTTCAAATGAAACAAAAATGTAGTCTGCTGTTAAAAGAGGATGTGCATACATGCATGGAGATAAAGCTACAGAAGGGATATATTCTCAGATCTGACCCCTCCACCACTCTATTCATGCAGTGAAGCATCTCAGTTATGTGACTGCTTTCTATGATTAGCTTTTCTGCAGCTGTGAATTGGGCTGGATAGCTGTTTGAAGATGGTCTTGTTGCCACAAGGGCACCATGGATAACACAAACAACTTCTAGGCTCTTTACACAGTATGCCATGACAAGATAAATGGTTGGGACTGCAAGCAAATTATTCTGAAGGAGGGGTGAGAAGCAACTAGATGGAACGTATGTAATGCTGCAGCACGGGTCAAAAGAATAAAAGAAAAAATAGCTGAGAATTCCAAAACAACCGGGGGGG